CGGTAAGGGTCTCTTTCTAGAAACAAAGTTCTAAGCATTTGTGTACACTTTAACTACCTTGCTAGCAAAATGAAGATAGTTTGTAGACCTGTTACACTACTAAATGTCTTTGTACAAATGGTGGCTGTATATGTACATGTTGGTGTCTTTTTTAACATGGAGCTGTATCAGTTCATCAGTGGGAACCCATGTTGCAAGTATATTTGCTGTTTGAAATGTTTCAGATCATTGTTATATATCCTTGCCCTCAACAGTCCGACTCTAGCAATTTTACCAGCTTGACGTTACTGAGCTGCGAATGGTAATTCTCTCACCTACTCCAGCTAGTATGTCAGTTAGTTCCTGCATAGAAACTACCTGTGGCTTCCACCCTTGGCAGTCAAAACCTAGCCTTTTATTTTGACTTCCATTCCATGTAGGTTTTTGTCCTCAAAATATTTCTTAGAGAAAGTTTTTTGCAGCATTTGAAATCTCGAAGCAGCTATAAATGGCAACTTTGCCAGTTTGTGCATCTCTTTATATCAGGGGTGGGCAAACTTTTTGGCCTGAGGGCCGCATCGGGTTTCTGAAATTGTATGGAGGGCCGGTTAGGGGAGGCTGTGCCTCCCGAAACAGCTAGTCATGGCCCAGCGACCCCTGCCCCCTCCATCCCCCCCCCCCCCCCGTGCATTCTTTGAACTAGCAATTTCATTTTCTTATCATTCAGCACAGGCCAGTTCTCCCCCAGTGAGAAAGTGGGTGTAGTACTGCCTTGTCACTGTGCCTCTTCCAATATCAGCTGCTGGCTACGATACTCTACTGTTGAAAAGCATTTGGCACGTGGAAGTATTGACCAGCATGTTTTAAAATACTTCAACTGGCGGAGAGATGAAAGGCTGCGGTAGTGAAGTACTTTTTCCTCGATGGTTAGCCACTTGCAAAGTTTGGTAATATTTATTTCTATTGTGATTGTGCCAGAGGTCCCAAGCCGCCTCAAGGCCCTCGTGTATATGCCCTGCACAAACCCACAGTAAGAAACAGCTGCCCTACCCTGCCAAGCTAAAAAGATAAAGGGATGGGAAGCATGATAAAACATGCAGCAACCTGCCCAGGAGAGGTGATACATGTATCTTGCTAGTTCCCTATTTTTTTGCCCTCAGGACAATCAGCATAGGCAGGGTGAAGGGAAAGGGATACAATTGAATTTATACAGTGTACATGCACATTTTATTACATTCCTTTCTGTACGTCTTTTTTAAATTAATACACACCGATGCTAACCAACCGCCCAGTTCAACCCAACTGCTATCAGTTGTTCAGTTTCTTGTAGACACCATGGAAGAATGCGCTCTTGAGAAGCGATTTGAAGGCGGAATGAGGAGTGGTCATTCAGATCAGAGCAGGGAGGGTATTCTGTGCATACAGACCAGTGCGTAAGAAAGAGCAAATATATGTATGTAGGAAGCTAGGATCAGGATGGGGATGAGGGTGTGGAATGACAGGAGGTTTAAAAAATCATTTTGCAGTCCATCAGTCAACTGACTAATCATTATCCAGGAAAAGATAGTATATGACTCTGTTAAAACCCCAGGATGGCGTATGTCACTTGTTTTTTTTATTTACAGTCTCTGGAGTTTGGTAGTGGAGAAGAGGGGTTTTGTTTTGTTTTGAAACTGTAGTATGTAACTACTCAGTTTCACTTCTTGATTTGGCCCTATTTAACCAAAGCAAACTAGGGCAGTGGTTTACACCATGAGATGTAGAAAGACTTGCAAAATGCTGTGGAAGAAGCTCATTTTTGCCCACACAAGCCGAGTGTTTGGCTTTTTTGTAGGTGAGGCATGAGGAGGTGAACCCCCGTGCCCCCAAACCCAGGGTCAAAATGCAGAGCAGCTGTAACCTCTTCCCTCCCCCTCTGATGTGGCTACTCATCTACAAACCGTGTGGTGTCAGAGTGTTCCCCAGCCCTACTAATCAGAAATGAATGTCACCCTGTTGAACAGCTGTGGGGCAGTATGGATTTTACTGCTAATCATTTCTAAGCTTTGTTGGTTTGTTAGTCACTGAAACTGGCTTTCAGAACATGCCACTCTTGCTCATTAGCCAAATTTTAAATCAGTAGATAATTGATTTCACAGTAATGCATTTTCTGTCAACATAATTTATTTATTTATTAATATTAATAATTTGTCATAAGGGCTTTGCCTCCTATATCGTGTTTCAGGAAGCAACATCCTTTAGTTTTTCCTTTTCTGTAAGTTCTCTGATATCTTTTTACCATTGTCGTCTGAGCCCCCAGTAATTCAGATTGAATGGATTATGTCCCAGATACCATTGGCATATTCCTCTGAATCTTTTACAATCTTCACTTTACTCTGCTCCATTCCCTCCCCTCAGGAGAAAAGTACATCGTAAGCAGCTCTGCCAAGGTAGGCAAGGAATGGAGAAGTTGCTTTTCACACTGTGAAGTAACATTCTTCTATTATACATTCTGCCTGTATATCTCACATCTTCCACCTAATTGTGAGGGAGTGAAACATTTTGTGAATGTAATATGCATATGCCATTTTCTTCTGAATACTCTTAATACTAATATTGCTTTGATTCTCAGTCAAATTCCCAGAACGACTCTTCTAAGTTACCTTCCAATTTTTACATAAGAACTGGATTGCATAGGCACATACGGTCACCATTTCTTTCTATAGCACAGCATTGTAATAGTGTGTTCCTAGGCAGCAAACAAATCTTTAAAAAGCCAATGGGTTATACAAGGTGTAATATCAGATCAAAATTTCGTTCCTTTAACTAATACATATTTTGTTAATCTGATCACCCCTGGAGAGAGATAGATATAGGTGTGTGTGTGTGTATCTATAGATCTTTCAACAAATTATAATAGTATGAACCAAATTTGGTGCTAAATTATTTAATGAAGGTTAGAAAAGTTGTCATTCTTTAACAGTTTTTCTAGAAGTCTCAATCAAAAATATATAACCTAGAACAGTGGTGGGAAACCTGCAGCCCATCAGGGTAATCTGCTGGCAGGCCGTGAGACAGTTTGTTTACATTGACCTTCCGCAGGCAAGGCCACCTGCAGCTGGCTGCCGCTTCCCACAGCTCCCATTGGCTTCCTGCAGCTCCCATCGATGAAGTGGGTTATAGCCCACGAAAGCGTATGCCCAAATAAATGTGTTAGTCTCTAAGGTGCCACAAGGACTCTCGTTTTTTCATGATACTTTAGGTACTTACCTTTACATTGATGAAGATGAATTTCTAGAGTTGGTACTGTTGTAAGACTTTTCCCCCCTGCTTATCTCTAAGCATTTCTACAAACAGGAAAAACTGCTTTGAGACTTTGTTTTTAAAGGGCTACGGTCAGGTAGTTTAGACACATGATCTAGGTTTTGTAGCAAGAATCCTTTTTCATTCAATGTTTAACATCTTCATTTGGGATTTTAACATTCTGCACTAGGTACTGCATAAGCAACTAGAAAGTAAAACCTACTATAACCAAGCCAGTCTGTCACCATACAGAGAATGACTGATTAAAAGGGAGCACAATATATACATTTATATTCTCTCCCACCTCTCATTCTCTGTATAGTAAGACTGGAAAGGAAAAACAAGTATCCAATAGGATTTTGACTCTAAGTGTCCCTTTAATGTCTTTGGCAACAAAGCAGAAACAGTTACAGTTGTATAACTTCAAAGCTCAGCACTCATTTTTCATGACAAAAATACTAAACCAGCGTCATGCAGCCATTTACTTTCTTTTTAAATCTCAGCCAAAAAAAATGTAATTGAAGTGTAGATTTTTTTAAAAAATGTTATTAAATAACACTATTTTGTTATTTGTTTGATTATTCAGGATATTTTAAAGCACTTGCTAATGCTTACAAAAAATTCAGAGTTGCTTTTAATACAACTTCAGTAGAGAACGTAAGAAAAAAGGTAGTTCCAGTCAACTGACCACACGCATCCATCCCACATCCCCACACACTAGAAGTTAGGGGAACCAAATCCCTTTTGGTAAATTATTTTTCTCTTATAATACAAAGACACTATAAAGGAACAATGCTGTGTCAGAGTAACTGGGAGAGGCAGTCTAGGAGGAGAACAGTTGGGGACCAGAAGCTTGATGTTGACACTAGACTTCTGTAGTTCAAAGCAGAAGGGAAAATCGCCTACAATTTTCATTAATCCCTTTGGATCAGAAAGAACTTGTAGATGGATATGAACGGTAAAGGAATCTGGCCCTTGGCATTACATGGTGGGGCAGCAGTGGAAACAATGGAAGCTGGGGTTGTTAATAATTTAGTTCCTGAGAACTCCTATATAGGTCAGTTGAGATCAGCTTTGGCACAGCCTGTTCACTGCTTTAGAACAGAGATTTGTTTGTTTTTTAATCCATGGAGGAAAGACCACAGCAGGCCTGACACAATTCAACACTGCTGCCTTTTTCAAATTCACGGTTGCACAGCACAACTCCTATTATTAGTGCATATTGAAAGCAGCAACTAAGAAGTTCCCTGCTCTTCTCAATGTACATGTGTGTTAGAATACAGCCCATAGTGTCGTAATTGACTGTTACAGGATTTAAGTCCAGGCATTCCCCTCCAAAGATGATGGTGTCTTTTACTAGCATTGACATACAGGTGCAACTGCCAGCTAATAAATCCTATTACTAAGTAGTCGTGTGGCCATGTCTAGAGTCGGAAAACAGGTTGTATTTTTGAAATGGGTTTGCTAGCTAACACATTGTAAGTAACAGGACTTCACAAAGGACTTTGTACCGAGTGTACTTAGGGCTAACCATCTTTAAAAGCATTGGTTCTGCTAGTTATGATTAATCCTAGGGGTAGACATTTAAGGTAGAGAAGAGCTTTCAAACTGATTCCTTTCCCCCTGTGAGGAATGGCTATCGCTTACAGATGATGTATGAGATGATAAACATATACTATAAACAACCTTAGTTAAAAGCAGAAACTAAATCTAAGAACAAACCACACTGAGTAACAAAATTATATAACCTTTACTAGGTTGTTTTAATTGTAAACCAAGCAGTAGCATCTCAGGTAGAAAACAGACTGACGTGAACTCAAAACTATTTGACTTTTACAGAAGGAAATACCAGTCATGCTGTTCACTCAAACCAAATACAGTTTTACTTCAATATTCAAACATTTTGTAAGTAATAGTTTTAAACAAAAGTTGTCAATCAAAAACAAGGAAAAAAAACCTCCATCAATCCCTGAATTTAGGTGGTTTGAACTGCACCCACCATTTTCATTCCTACACATTGCCAGTTCCAGCAATATTCCTTGTATTGGAAATGAGGACGACTACATGAAGCTGCAAGCCCTTACACCGTCTACGTACACCAAATAGCTGTAGGCATTCAGGATTAGTATACATTTTTGCAGGTTTATTAAAGTAAACCGTTCTCATTGCCATCTTTTTTAATTCCCTTCTCAATTAGGACCTGATGCCTCCTGATCAGCTAGGGTTTAAGCCACTTGCAAGGTGGATTACAACGTTTTTTTCAGACGGCACTAAGCACTGATTTCAGTCTCCAACAGTTTGTGATATATTAATCACCACATCAATGTTTCAAAGGAGACAGGGGAGAGAAAGCAGCTAGATACCATGATGTCACTGATGACTTGGAGTGGAGCGTATGCTTACAAAAGTTGCAGATGACACCAAGATAGGAAGATGGTGCAGGCACTTCGGGGAAAAGGATTAGAATTCAAAATTACCTTGTAGAACTGGTCAGAAATCAAAGTACTTCACTTAAGGAAGAGAAAAAAAAATGAGGAATAATTGGGTTGGTGGTGGTCCTGTTGAAAAGGAGCTGGGAATTATAGTGGATCACGAACTGAATGTGAACCAACAGTGTGGTGCAGTTGTGAAAAAGGATAATATCCTGGCTTGTATTAACAGTAACATATATGTAAGATACGGAAGATAACAGTCCTGTGCTACTCCATAGTGGTCGGTCTTCAGCTGGAGTACTGTATCCAATTGTGGGTGCCAAACGTTAGGAAAGACATGGATAAATTGGAGAAAGTCCAAACAATAGCAACGACAATAATAAAAGGTTTAGTGCATTGGACCTCAAACTGTGGACGTCAAACAGAGGAATGTGTGGGGTGGGAAGAGCCTGGCAGGGCCCAGGTCAGCCTCAATGGGCAGAAAGACAGTGCTACCCTGTCCCGCCCCAGACTTAGCAATCGCTTTGCACCCAGCTGCTGGCCCCAGCCTTGATCCCTAGCCACGGCTCCACTCCAAGCCCTGTCCCTAGCTCCCTTATTCCTGTGCATCCCCCGTCGAGTTGCAGCCACACTCCCAGTGCCGGGGGGGGCAGGGGTAAGGCCGTGACCATGAAAAGTTTGAGGACCACCAGTTTAGAGAATCTGACCTGTGAGGAAAGATTTTTTTAAAAAACAGCCTGTATAATCTTAAGAAAAGAAGACTGAGGGGGGAACCTGGTAACACTTAAAAATATGTGAAGGGTTGTTAGAAAGAGGATGGTGTTCAATTGTTCTTGTACTTTCCATGAACATGGAGACGTAGTGGGACTAGGTAGATAGAATGTTTTCCCCAATAGCTATAAAGATAGTTAAATACTGGAACAGGCTTTCAAGGAATGTTATGAAGTCCCATCACTGGCAGTTTTTAAGAACAAGTTGGACAAACACCTATCAGGGATGGTCTAGGTTTAACTGGTTCTGCCTCCACACAGGGACCTGCACTTGATGACCATGAGGTCCCTTCCAGCCCTATATTTCTATGATTCTGTAATTATAGGATTGGATCTCATAATCTGCCAGGTAGAGACAGGAACGTGATACTATGTGCCATGAAAAAGCTGAGATTTTCACCATCCCACTGACATAGATTATAGCCCTCATGGTGTAAGTGATATTGGACTTTAAAACTGCCTCTGGTCAATCAGTCCAGCTGTGCTGTTACTGAACTGATCCAGGCTTAAAAATGGCAAGTTTGAGCTTGAAGCACTGTATCTTTCATTCCCTGAAGTGAGAGGGGAAATATACATATGCTGCTGTAAAATACATTCTACAAAGCCTATGTGTCTGTAATATGAATAGAGAATCTTGCTTGTAGTAAAATAAAGGAGATGAGATGTTATAATTATTAATTTATGAAACAGCTCTTTGTGAAATGTGACTATTTCACATCACTATTTAACGATGCAGTAATTTCTAAATTCCCCATAGAAACTATCATTCTTGAAAAAAATTGACTATATTTTTCAATGTATTTAATCTGGATTTTTTTGCATTTTATAAAATTTAAATTCCCATAGCAAAACCTGTTCCTATGCAATACTATATACATTAAACCAACAAGCTAAAACAGAAAACAAGCAGTAATCTTAATGTGCAATACTGTACACATTAAGTCAACAAGGAGTAATGTGAATCCATTTACTTTTCCTTCCGCCACACTGACCTACTATAAATACAAAAACTAATGGAGACTTAAAATGAATCAACACCTCCTGCAACTGTGGCTCTGTCCCAGTAGAACAGCAGGAGATGTTACTGCTTCTATAGCAACCATGTCATCAGCCTGTTGGCTTGACAACAATGCATGAGAAGAAACAGTTAACAGCTTGACCAGTCTTAACTCAAAAGGGGTTTTTTCAGGTTGTGTTGCTAAATGTCTATTTGCTGTTCAATTTAATAAATTTTGCAATAAAAAACCCTATGCAGTCTTTATTTGCCAGCAAGATCAGGTCTTCTTCCCTAGAGTCCTGCAAAGAGTTCACATCCATTCCTTGTAACGTCACACTGGATGGATCAAACCTCTGCAGCAGCTTCAGCTGATCAAGTGACAGTCCAGCTCCCCTCATGCCTTCTCCTCCAATATGTGGGTCCTTTTTTAAGTGAGAAAGTAAAGCAGTTTATTTACATTAGTCTGCATTTACTGTTTTGATTAATTAAAAACACAAATTAAAATATGAACTCAACAAAAAATTATGTATAGGAGGATGCAGTGTAACATACTGGTAGAATAATTTTAATTGAACATCTTTAGTATATTTAATATACAACTTCTGTATGAGCCAAAGCCAAGCTGATCCTAGCTCTTGGAGTTTGTTCGGTTGTAGCCCGTTCATAAGGAAAAGGAAAGAGGATCTTAACTCATGCTACGGGAGAGCTAGTTACAAGAAATCATAAAATGTCTATGGAACTATTGTGGCAATGTACCCTGTTTAATGTCACTCCCTAATCTGAAAAATTAGACCCAAAAGACTAGTACTTCATGCACAGAATACAGGTGGTGACCAAAAAAACAAACAAACAATCTATACACTATTTAACAGGTACAAGAAGGCAGCACATTTAGTCTTAAAGTGACAGAAATGTAATCCCAACTCTAGATCAGTTGGTATCAGAATTAGAAAAAAATGTTTCTTATTCAGCTGAAATAGCAAGTGTTTAAACACACTATGTGCCTGCTACCTATATAGCTCCATGGGAAACGACAGTGAGTCAATGCTGTTCAACTTTATGAGTTTCAGAGTAACAGCCGTGTTAGTCTGTATTCGCAAAAAGAAAAGGAGTACTTGTGGCACCTTAGAGACTAACCAATTTATGAGCATAAGCTTTCATGAGCTACAGCTCACTTCATCGGATTGAGCTGTTGCTCACGAAAGCTTATGCTCAAATAAATTGGTTAGTCTCTAAGGTGCCACAAGTACTCCTTTTCTTTTAACTTCATGAGTGAAATCCCAATACTGAAGTCAATGGGAATTTTGCCATTTACTTCAATGAGAATTTTGCTTTATAATTTATCAGGATTTCTTTTTTCTGATAGTAAACAAAGCATTTCATTTTGGATATGGTAGGTATAACCTGGAAACTCCCAGGAAGTGGATGGCAAAGACGACTGTACTCATATCAACAGGTGATAGAGGAAACGTGGGCATGTGATAACCTTCAGCACAAGCCCCAGCTCTGTTAAATGTTGGATAGTATGTCTTTTATTTTCGTCTACTGCTAAACACAACCAGCCACTCTTATTGTCATACCACTATCCCAAACTCTCATTTTTTAACATTTCAATTAAAAGATGCACCAATTACTTGCTCTAGGTACGTTTACTACATGCACAATTACAATATTTACATGCTAAACCAATATCAAATTGACTTTTCCTCAACCATATAATCCAGTAAATTTAACAATTAATCTCCTTAACACCTTGCCTAAGTGGAAGCCTAGGAGAACAGAACTATTGCTGGTCTGATGATAAAGTCTCTCAAAGTACTAGTATAAACAAGAGAAGTATCTTAGAATAGCTGAATCCAAAGATCGCACTTATTTTTATACCCCTACTATCTGCAAATATTGGCTCTGAAATGAACTAGATATTGTAACAGAACTATTTCAGCTGACATGTCCGTGATTCTATGGATAGATGTCCTATACCTCTGCACAATGACAATGCCTTTGACTAATCGTGGTTCTCAACCTGCAGCCCAATCAGCCCAGAGCTGCAGCGCGTGTGACATTCTCAGGGCCACACAGGTAGTACTGGATGCAGCCCACAACGATAAATAGGTTGAGAACCACTGCTGTGCCAGGGTGACTTGCATATACAGTATTAACAACCAACTTTGTATTCTCCCCACGCCCCACCCCACCAGCAGTTTTTTACATTTTCTTCCATCCTTAACATGATTCTTATAGCCATTTCAATAGCATTCATTAAATTTATTTTGCCCCTCCTGTGAGGTACTGAAATAAAAGAACAACAAAGAAGTATAAATATGCATTAAGAACAAAGAGCTACAAGGAAAATGCTAGCCTGTCATGAACTATCTATGATCACTCTCTGTTTTAAATGACTGACTGGTGTACAGATACATGAAACCACTGCAATACACTGGTGGGAGTATGACTGTAAAGCCATTTAATCTCCCTTCAGTGAATTGCAATTAGATATATGCTGATTCACTATGAAAATCACCACCTGTTCTATAGCTCTCAACCTCTCATGTTACCTAAGGTGAAATTGGCTAGTTGTTACAAAGCACATTTCTGCAACAGCATACAGCATCTAGAATGCTAACAGAAAGACTTTGTGAAAGACCATTTTCCTGGTCAACACTATGTTGTCACTTACCGGTGACAAGACTTTCCTGTTCCTCAAATACTTTTACTTGCAAGTCCATTTCTATCTATGGATGTTACATACCAGGAGTTTCAGTATTTGCTAATTAGTAAATTAAAATTTATTTTATTGTATTCTTCTGAGAAATATCTTACCACACAACGGAAAGGAGTAGAATCATAGAATATCAGAGTTGGAAGGGACCTCAGGAGGTCATCTAGTCCAACCCCCTGCTCAAAGCAGGACCAATCCCCAATTTTTGCCCCATATCCCTAAATGGCCCCCTCAAGGATTGAGCTCACAACCCTAAGTTTAGCAGGCCAATGCTCAAACCACTGAGCTATCGCTCCCCATTATTTACAGCCATTATTGTAATGACACAGCTCAAACAGATGTAAAAAAAAAAAATCCATATGCTGTTCAGATCTGCAGCAACTAAAAATGCCTATATGTTTTAGGAAATCACATAAACCATTTCTTCACTGTTTCCAGAGTAACATCCTACAGCAGAATTCTTCGCCATATTGCTTAAAATTCCAGTGCTGAAACTTGCATACCGAGTTGCACGTAGTAAACTGAAACTGTTCCTACCTGTGACTGAAGCTGGAGGCAGGGAAAAGTTTCCAGGGCCCAGGCAACTTGCTCCTCATTTTCAGACAGTGTAACTGTACATGTACTATACACCAAAATGCCCCCTGGCTTCAGCAATTTCACTGCCTAGAAAGAGATTGTGGTTCAGCTTTCATGGTGTAAACATCTTCAATGCAGAATTACTTTGAACAGTATAGTAAGTTTTCTTAAAGGTTAATTATGATTTGCGTATTTATTTGGAACCTTTATGGTACAGTAGGTAAATGTAACACTTATTTAGGCCAGAATCTTTCTGTCTAGGACTCAGGCATCCTGTTAATTGTATAGACATTTTGTCCCTTTCAAGGGATGTAATATAAGTTCTAACATTTCCAAGTTTACTTCTGGAAGAAAGATCAGTTTTTGTATTACAGAAGCCTACCAATTAGAAAGCCTTTCCTGCCCTATTAGCATTAGAGCTTGTGCATCTTCCTGGGCTGAGGGAAGTGACCTCTCTCCTCAAGATCTGTAAAACAGCCCTCTGGAAAGCTCTGTGTAACTCATACAGATGTAGGTTTGATCTGTTTTCATCAGCTGAAGCCAAATGTGGACACAGAGTCTTTCAATCAATGACTGACAGTTGATGTTGTTCCCACATATTATGACACTATGATTATTAGTCCATCTTCTGCTGAAACTGGTGGAAGAAAAGGATTAGAAAAGAAAATGTAGTTTCCTATTACTTTACTGTACTTTAATTACACCAGTTCAAAGACACAATGAAGAATCTTTACATATCTACAGATGTTCTAAGGCTGTAAGATTAATAGTACCTGACACATGACACAGTCTCCCTAGGAAAAGCAGAAGTCTTTTGAAAGAGAGGAAAACAACTGATCTTGTTTTGTAAATATCTGAAGGATTCTAGACAAGGATTTAAACTTTCCTTCCTCTCTTTGACTCAGTCAGCTGTGAATATGGAAAAACTGAGCTGAACACAACTTCTGTTTTCTCATCTTGTTTTGAGCAAGGCAGTATGCAATGGAGAGATCTAAAAGAAGAGGTGTCTTGAAAGTAGGAACCAGAGCACCAAGACTTCCTAGTATTCAATTGGCTCTGCTTACGGTCTATCCAAGAGATGAACATCCCTCAAGTGTAGACTAGTTTAAGATAAGAATACAAAAATGTGAAATCCCCGAACAGATTTGATGATACAGGAAATAGTACAGTTCTCTTCAACTTAAGAAGAGATGAGTGGGTAAATCCATTGCAGTAGGGGGAATATCAACTGGTGTTTGAAATTTTTATCAGTGAGGTGTACTTGTCTACCAGAGGGTGCATTGCCTTTCAGGGGCAAGTCTGGGCCAAACACATTCCTACTCCAATCCCACCCCTTTTAGGTCAGGTATTCTGGGAACTATGGCTAGAAGCAGGGTCTGCTGGAAACGGGGGCAGGATATATGAGCAGAAGCATTTTCCAAATGAGAGAGAGACCAGGAATAATCTAATCTATTATACGTCTCTCTATGATAAGGAAGGAGCTGGAGAAGAGCACCAGCTTGCTGGTGGGGCTCACCCAGGATGCTATGGGTCTCTCTATGGTGGGGAAGAGTTGAAAGGAACAGAAGTTTGTTAAGGAGAGCTCTCCAGGGGCTGTACCAAGCTTGGTGATGATTCCCTGCTGAGAGGAAGCTACAAATGAGCCTAAACGGGGCAATGTGAATCAAAGAGCCTGTGACAGGACCTGAAAGGAGTCTTACGGACTATGCAGAAAACTCCTGGGGAGAGGTGGAAGAAGTTATAGGACAAGACCTGGGGCAAGAAACAGCAGCACAGGCTTGAGACCTAGTTATTTAGAGGCCTTGGCTTACATAGAAGATGAGAGGAAAGCCCCTGCCCTTTCATTCTCTGATCAAGAGGAATGACCAGGGAAGACCCTGGAGAAAAGCTTTGTCTAGCTCAGGCTGAGCCCTGCACTAAGGGCTGGGGGAAGGCAAAGGTCAATCAGTGGTGCCAGTGCCCAGGACTGAAAGCCTGACCCAGGGAGCAGTAAAGAACTGGTGTAGATCCTACAATCAAAGGGAAGGAGTCAGCCCAGGAACAGGGAAGCATTATTTTAAAGAAGGCCTTCATTTCGGACTTTTATTTGCTCTGGATGGAAGACTTTTGTTTCTCTGGACAATACACCACAGCATCCAAGTACCAGAGAGCCAGGAGAAACTGAGGGACGACTACATTCAGATGAGGCAAGCTGCACCCATGTAATCCTTAACTGTAAAACTATTTATGTGCAGTTTTCTTTAACTGCTTAATGATTCATACATACCATGCTGAAAAGCTTGCGTTGCAATGGCTGATAAGAAGTCACTTCTTTTAGAGTCCAGGAATAGGCCATATTTGGTCTCTGTCCCATCCCACTACAAGGAACATCAAGAAGAATTCGATCAAATGACTCTGCTGAGAATGGAGGGCCTTCTGCAAAAGGCAATTGACATTTTAAAAAACTGCAGCAAAACCAGTTAGTTATACATAACACACAGCCTTTGTTTCTCTTCTTGAGACTTCACCTGTAGATAGTGGCAAGCTGTCACTGATTGCCCGACATGAAGTGTTTGAGGGTTTGCGCTCTATATACTGTGTCTGCAACACTGACCTAATCTACAGGAGCAACACAGCTAGTAATGACCGAGTAGATTTCATTCCTGAGAAGGAAGCATTTTACTTATCACTATCTTTACAACCCTGTGAACTTAAAACAATTTGAAATCAGTCTTGGCTTTAGCATTTCTGAACCCTAATTTAATGTATTGCAAGTACAATATTAAAAAAAAAGTGCCAATGAAAACAGGACTTGGGTGGTAAGCTCTGGAATGAGACACAAGGTGGCTCCAAAAATTACAATAAGAATACTATTCAGAGTTGCTTGTGTGGAGGAAGGGAATTTGCAACTCCCTAACCTGAATCTGTCCCTTCTCGTGAATCCTGCTGGGCTGTACAAGTTCTTACAATACCAGGAGTATGGTGACTCCTCAGCTCAGGATCTCAGAGGCAAGAGAAACTGGTTCCCCATGTACATCTGGGAGTAGACAGTGAGGGAGAAAGTTGTGTCTACTCATGCCTACCAAAATTTCAATTTAGATCACAAGTGAAAATGAGTTGGTGGCTTCATCCTACAACTAGCCAACCATATGCCAGCACTCCCCAAACTACTATATTTTGCAACTATCTGGCATGACTGGCAGCTGTTGCCCAGGCGAGACTGTGGACTAGAATACAGAGCATTTTGCAAGACTTAAGTGTAGAGATGTGTAGTAAATCCTGAATAGATTTTACATGTGCTATGCCTGGCTCTTTCCACTGCTGCTGCTTCCTCACCTGAAAAGCACTAAATACCACCTATAAAATACATATATATTTGTTGAAAAACTTTACGAAAATACTACATTTGACCTTGGAAATCAATCTGACTGTAAATTATGGGGGATTAACAAGGACTGCCCCACATGAGAAAAGTGCCTGAATTATGCAACCAAACACTTAGTTTTGCGAGCTACTGACCTTTCTGAACTAGCAGGAAAAGGCAATTAACAGTTCCTTTTGGAAAAGATACAATTTAGTTTGCATAGCAAATAAAAAAGAATCAAAGACAAAATATACCATTTAAAAATTTCCATTTTGGGAACAGAACCAGAGTCATCAATACAGCAAGTCAGAAAAGCAAATGAAATAAAAATAATGCTCTAGGCTCCTATAACACTTTCCATCTGTTTCTGTCAAATAGCTATACAAACATTAACAAACTAAGCTTCACTGTACTCTTGGGAGTTAAATATTAATATCCCTATTCTACAGATGGGAATTCAGAGGCACACAGAAGCTAAGTGATCTGCCAAAGTCACTTATGTGATAGAGCTAACAAAACCCCAAAAATTCAGAATGTGGGCTTAAATGCTATCATGAAGAAAGGCTTAATAGGCAGTCTCTCTGATATTATCTGGAGAAGGAATAAATGCCTCCTTAAGTACATTAGGCTGCAATAAGGACGGACAGTTAAGAGTTTTGCATGTGCACTACTGAGAAACTGATACTTGCAGAAGGACAGAAAGTAAAAGGATATCCACAGTGCTGAAGCACCCTGGGTATGTGCCAAAGTTTCAAGAACTTTGGATATTGTGGCAGGATTAACAGCACTAGCAAAAATATGATTATCATTTTCTTTTAAAAGACAATATCAAAATTCTTAAAATCATTTACTTTACCTTGTCCATCTTCTCTCTTCCCGATGGCAAGTGCCTTAGTTCCATCACAGCAAAATGCTTTAATACAATTCAGCTGCAACAATGCTGCATTCTGCTTGATTTTTTTGACTTTGTTAGCTATCTTGTCCATGGCTATCACTTCACCCTGAAAAAGTGAAGCGTGCACCAAATGTAGTAGTTAAAATGATGAGTAGCTGCAGCAATACCTGTTATCTTTCATTTAAGCTCCAATTCATAACACACACATTTTTCTCTACTTTAAAAATACATTCTGATGAGAAAATTTTAATCTAAGTTTTGTGGGGTCATTTAAATGAGAAGAAAAAATGAAAATAATTCATGCATAAACATTTTTCCTGTTTTCTGATCATCTCTACAACTGCTCAGAAAATGTTCATTGAATATTTGACTAAAAATGGGGTGGGAAGGAAATCTGTAATGTTTTCATATTTATCAACCAGCTTTTATTAATATTTTAATGGACCCGCTTCCCAAAAGTGTCTATATTATCTGATGTATAACTGTAATATACTGATGTTATAATATTAAAATAATGTTTCAAAAGTATATCAAGATTTCACGCAAACATTTTAGAAATGTAAATTATTTATTAAATGCAACATGGAAAATGATAAATGTAGGGGGGAATGTACTTTACAACCAGAAAAGGAAAGCAAAGCAGACAGATTAGAGAAGCCTATTTTATACATGTTCAGGAAGTACATTAATTTATATAATTCCAATTCAACAACTGCATTCTCCTGAAGCTTTACTCCTGTGGTTTGAGGTTGGTAGAGTCTCTGGATTGAATTACAATTACATATAATAAGAGGAACACTTTTTTCCTTATAAATCAAAAATATTTCATGTCCAAGAGTTGCAGATGAGCACTAAATTATGAAAATTGTTTCAGATGCAAAAACTATAAATGGAAGTAAATCAATGGCAAAGGCACATTGCTATACAGAAACTCTTCATCACCACACTGAAGCTCTATACTTGTAAATTTCATGGCTCTACCGACAGAATGCCTAATGCATGTTTGCAATTGAAGGGCTGGCCACCTCCCTTAGCGCCACATTGATTACTTCAAGCAGACGGTCCCATACAGCAAATTGTGTGGCTTTTTAAAGTACACACAACTAACCACTGCAAAGCCCTACTGTGAATGCACAGATAGCGACTGAAGCGCATTCTATTGCAAATTGTAAGATCTATTTAACTCACCTCATATTTTATACGTAACTCCACTCCAGTCAAAAATGACAATTCAGCAAATAAATGTTACATTTTCTCTGAAATTACTAAAATAGATTCCCCACTCTCTCTCACGTAAAAGAACAATCTCATAGCCCTTTCCTTCAGACTGAAAATGCCTTGGTATGGGCAAGTCCTTACTCCTCTCTCCCCATACTTTTTTTTGGCAGGACAAAGTGCTTGTGTGTTTTTTCTCCTGTGTCTTTCTCCAACTGTTAAATTTCATGCATCCCTTTCACATAGACTTTCTCCTTTTGTCAGACATACAATTTTCATTAAGCCTTCCAACATTAAACACTCACATTGCCTTCAGACCCTGTTGCATCTGATCCATTCTCCCACATCAATTACTAACCTTTTATAATTGCTGTTCTTTAAGATGTGTTGCACGTGTCCATTCCACCTTTGGTGTGCATGCACCCTGTGACAGGCATTGGAAATTCTTCTCTTAGTGGTACCTGTTTGGGCAGCTTGAGCACCCTCTGCTGTTGTGTTCCACTGCGTGATGGTAAAGGACCCATCTATCCCTGAGCGCCCTCAGTTCCTTCTTGCCAGACAACTCCAATGCAGAGGGCTAAGTTAGTTGTCTGGGTAATATGAAAATCAGACACCACTTTAGAGAGAAATCTCAGATGAGAGCACGAGTACATCTTATCCTTAAAAAAGCTTGTATAAGGCAATTCAGATGTCAGTGCATGCATTTTGGCCACCCTCCTGACTAAAAGTGGTTTTCCTGATGGCTATCGCTTCAGAGACAGGTGCAGAAAGAAGCACATTGCTGAAGGGTCCACAGTGGCCCTATGATTTTTCACAAAACTAGGTTTAAGTCCTAGGAGGAACAGGTTCTCTTATTTGAGAGTACAACTTTTCCTGGCCCTTCACAAATCTGAATGTCATATCACCAAAAAATCCAGAATGGTTATCCACATGAAGATGGAAAACTGATATTGTTGCCAGCTGAACTTTGATAAAAGAAATTGCCAACCCCTGCTGTTTTAGGTGCAATAGATAGTCCAGGACCTGCTGGATAGAGGACTGCTTTGATGAGAGCAAATGGGAAAATGCCTCTGTTATGAACATAAGTAGCTCTGGTAGAGGACTTTCTACTATTTAACAACTTATGTCGAACTTGCTCTGAGCCAGACTGCTCCCTAGGATTTCGCCATGGAGCCTTCAAGCCATTAAATGAAGGGCTTGGATGAAGCAGCCGATCATGATCTTCGAGATCAAAGTCCAGGTGCAATGGGAGTGAAACTGGAGCTGCCATTGACAAATCCAATAGAGTGGAGAACAATGCTGTTGAGGCCACGTTGGGGCTATTAAAAACTGTTACTTTCTGTAACTGCGGTTCTTTGAGATGTAATGCAGATGTACAGTCCAGGTAGGTGTGCGTGTGCACCGGAGCCACAGACTTTTGCCTAGCAGTTACCTGTAGGGGCGGGAGGTACTCCTGCCTTGTGTCTGTAGCCCCTTCCCTTGCTGTATGAGGCTGTGCCACCCCAACCTCCCTCTGTTCCTTCACGCCAAATATCCTGGGGAAGACTCCAATGGAGACAGGACAGGGGATGGGTCCTGGAATACATGTATGCATCACATCTTGAAGTAACTTTCCTCCTCGTCCTCCTCCATCATCTTCTCCTTCTCCTCCTTGCAGATGCAGACATGTATTCCAAGTAGATGACTAGCAAGCAGTACCCCCATCCAGAGGCGGAGCTCAGAATCTAAGTAAGGATCACAGGACCATTCAACGGTCCATACATGTATGGATGGATGACCATGTGGCCGCCCTACGAACATCCAATATGAAAATGTAATTGAGGAATGCTACTAAAATTGCCCGTGCTCTCATTGAGCATGCTGATATCTGCTGAGGAGGCACAGCCAATGTTATCTCATAGGCAGTCTTGATACAAGACGTTATCCACCTAGAGATGGTCTGCACAGAGACCACTTGTTCCTTCATGCAGTCTGCATAGGATACGAACAGACAAGGCAAAGAAAAAGACTGTTCAGTCAAAAGGCTAGACAGGTCTAATGTATGGAGGTGTTGCTCCTCCGGGAAAAATACTGGTAAACACAGCACCTGGTTCAAATGACACTGAGACCATCCTAGATACAAACTTTGGGCGTGGCCAGAGCGTAACCTTGTCCCTGAAGAACTGTGTGCAAGAAAGCCCCGCCATCAGGGCCTGCAGCTCACCCAACCACCTGATAGAGGTAATAGCTATCAAGAATTCCATTTTCTGAGACAGAAAGGGCAGCAGACAGGAAGCAAGGGGCTCTAATGGAGGCCCCATTTAAGCTGTGTTTGGTTCCCACAAGGGGACTGGAGGATGCAAGTGGAGAAGTACTTGCAGAAATCTTGTCACCATGGCATTGGAGAAAACAGATTTCCTTTGGATAGATGGATGAAACACCATTATTTTCTGCCGAGTGCACTTTTACAGAACTGAGTGCTCAGCCCAATTCCTGAAGGTATAGCAAGTACTCCAAGATGTCCTGGATAGATGTCTCTGCCGGATGGGCCCCACAGGCCAAGGACCACATGGAAAACCTCTTCCACTTCACCAAGTAGGCTGTTTTAGTGTTCTTTCTCCTCGTTCAGCCATGCAGCAGCCATGCCACAAGGTGCAGGGAGCTGAACACCAGATGCCGTGTGCAGCCACAGTCCTGTATTAGAAGGTCGGAAAGGGGAGGAAGCGGATGGGAGGCTGAACTGACAGAGTGAGGGGGTCTAAGAACCAGCACTGTCTCAGCCACAGTGGGGTGATCAGGATGAGTCTGGTTCAATCTGCCTTGAGCCTGAGATAAGAGGAAATGCGTACAGCAGGGTTGACTGCCAGTTGCAGTAGAAAGCGTCGGAGAGGGAGCCTGGGCTGAACCCCTCCTGAAAGCAGAATAGGTGACACTTCCTGTTTTTCCTCGTCGCAAAGAGGTCAATCGTGGTGATACCATGTGTTGTGAAATCCATCCAAAGGACCTCTGCCTTCAAGGACCATTTGTGGCTTGGGGAGAAAAACCTGCCGAGATGATCCAGAAGGCAGTTCTGGACCCCTCCTAAATGGACAGCTATTGAGGTGATGTCTTCTTCGATGCAGAACCTCCACAGGTTGATCACCACCAGGCAGAGTGATCTGGAGTAGGCTCCCCCTTGTTTGTTCACACAGTACATTGCGGTGGTAGTCGGTGAGTATGTGAACCACTCAATGCCTGATATGGTTTCAGAAGGCACAATATGTGTTGTGGATGGCCTGAAGCTCTCGCACATTGATGTGGAATGTGGCCTCCTGTTTCGACCACAGGCTGTTCATCCTCATTGAGTCCAGATACACCCCTCAACACAGAAGGGATATATGTTGGTAATCACTGATTTGGCTGGAGAAGGTTGAGCAAGGGAGACCCTTTTGCACACAGTGTGTGGGGACTCCCACCAGTGCAGGGACTCCAGAGTGATGGAGAAAGGTGAACCAACCTATCCAGGGAATGCAGAATAGGGCAATAAATTGTCCTGAGCCACATCAAATGGCAGAGGTGCTTAATGACTTCTTTGTTTCGGTTTTCTCCGAGATTGGTGGTGATTGGACATCTAACATAGTGAATGCCAGTGAAAATGAGGTAGGAACACAAGAGGCTAAAATAGGGAAAGAACAAGTTAAAAATTACTTAGACGAGTTAGATGTCTTCAGGTCACCAGGGCCTGATGAAATGCATCCTAGAATACTCAATGAGCTGACTGAGGAGATATCTGAGCCATTATTAATTATGTCTGAAAAGTCATGGAAGACGGGAGAGATTCCAGAAGAGTGAAAAAGGACAAAGATAGTGCCAATCTATAAAAAGGGAAATAAGGACAACCTGGGGAATTACAGACCAGTCAGCTTAACTTCT